AATTGAATTCTATTTTATTTTGCTAGCATTGCGCATTGTAACATTCGCTGTGGGCCAAGTGCCCCTCTCTCATGGTTTCTGCAGAATACCAGTGGCCGTAACGTGCTCCCGAGTACGTTATGGCCTCATACTGAGCAGAGACCAATTTGGTACAACAATTGTATTATTTTACTTTTAAATGTCAATGTGTATCATTTAGTACCAAATAAATATTTTTTCTTTCTTTCTTTCTTTCAAAATTGACAAAATATGTTTACTTTCTGGCATTTTGTAAATATAAAAAGTAATAAGTAAATTAAGAGGCTGCGGCGAGGGAATTTTGAGTGCCTGAATCCGACTCACATTAATTTGACTGGTTTTCATTTTTATTCGCTAAAATTCCAAATGCCTATGTCTTCTCATTAATTAATTGTCCAATTTACTTTGTATTGTAATTCTATTTTTACAAAACTAACATAATCCAGCAGCTGCAAGAAATGTTAATGAATCATAAAGAATTCCTTTTAATCTATATTAATCTTGGCCAGCAAAAAACGGGATTGTGAGCAATGGCTGACCTCAAATGAGAGACGTAACTTTTATTCACTTAGGCCAGGGAAGGCGAACCAATGGCATATTTAGGCACGCCACCACAATCGCAAAATTCATTATAAAAAGACATAGCCCTCCTTCTGGTGTAGTCGGGTAAAAACATACGCTGCCTTTTGGCGCATTCGGGTAATAAATTAAATAGAGTGTTTTGAGTGAGAACTATCATATTAAAATTTTTCCCTCAACACTAGCGCCACTGTAGAGTCAGGTCCTATCACTCGTTATAGTGGCCAAGGTGTCAACTGGTGAGCGATAAAAAGATATAAATCACTCACTAGAATAATTCCACTGTAAAGTAAGGTCCTAGCTGTAACTCGACCTGTACGGTAGCTTTTATTGATACACGTCTTTGACTTCATATTTTTTTAAAGATACGTTTAATGATACGTAATTACAAAGGTTCACCGTCCCTGACTTAGGTTTTTTAATAAGAGGGCCAGAGGATGCTTTGAAGTGAGGCTGTAAATTTAATATAATTGCTGAGAAGAAAAATGTCTTAATACCTCCGGGATCGTTTAGAGGGCTCGGTGGGTAGTTACTTCGCCCCTGTCACTCACTTGTCCGCTCCAGCCTTTCAGAGGCTTTATTAGCATGCAAATTGATCGCCCCACGATTTATAGCCTTTAAACTTTATTTGGGGAGATTATTCGTTTTTTGGTATTTATTTGCTGTCGAAAAAGGCTCTTAGATAAATCTTCGGGATCTCTTGGGCGTTTTCATGACAAATTCAGGTTTTTGCAATGTTTTGAATGTACCTACATCTTAATGTCGTGGACATACGGCGCATATTAATTTTTAGTCGTATAGCCATTTCTGTGCATTTATTGTCTCGACCAGAATCACGCCCGTATTTACAAACGATGCTTGCTTAAGTGAAGCAGCAAACGAACGCACAGCGTTGAATAGAGTTCTGTGATTGGTTCGTGTGTCACCCTGTGCGTTCACGCTCATTGTGATACCTCATAGTAACGTTTGTGAATACGGGCGTCAGTCACACGCATCTATTCTGCTGCTTACAAACTAGACGACATAAGACACATAATATACATGCGTGATATAAGTATCACAGTTTACAATAAACACAATAATGTGTAGAAATAAAATTCACACGCACACCCGAGTGTACGTTTTTAATAATTTACACTACTTTGAATTTATTAATAAAGTGCCTAACGAGACTGTATTCAAAGAAATAAATAAACAAATTTTATATTGAAATTCGTTGAAGAAGTCACAAAATTATGATAACGAGCAGCATCTTTTGAATAATTTTAAATGGTGTTCAAAACTGTTAAATAAATTTACGTCGTACAACAAAATATTTACCGCGACTTCTTTAGAAAATTCCGCACAAAGTCCGTTGATTTTGCGTTACAAACTCAAAGTTGTGGACCGCCAAATGTAGGTCATTTATAACCGACACTACGAAAATTATCATAAATTAACGTAGGTACCTACTTTCAGGAATCCTAGAGCGATTATACCATTACGTAGAAAAAAGCTAGTCTTTTTCATCCGTCTTAGCATTTGTTTAAAAAATCTTTGGGTTTACGTAACCTATACTACAACAAAAAGTTGAACGCCTGTGGAACATTTATTTATTGTCATTGGAAATGTTATTAAACCAATGTTTAACGTGTGTTTTTGTTTTTGTAATAAGACCCAATGGGTCTAACGTTGAGATGCCACAACGGCGATGTCGCAATCAAATATATGCGTTTTACGTATGTACGGTTAAAGACATAAATTTATTTTCTCTAAAGAATTTACAAAATCCACTTATAGAGAAAAAACAGATGTATGTACGAGTATACAACTTTCAACCATCAAAAATAACGCTGTATCTCTAAAAACGGGTTAAAATTGAGCAATCTGAATAAAAACAAAATTACGTCCACATTTTGGCGGCTCTAAAGTTGGTTTTTCGCCATTGTACGACCGCACAACATGGCGGCTGGCTCTGAAAGGGTTTGAATGTTACTCTCAAACGCTTTAGCTCACGGATGAAAGGACCTCTTCAATGTATAATCCGTCTATATTTTTGTTTGCATATCACATAAAAGCATATTATGCTGCTGACCAAAAAATAGGCAATTGAATTGTCAAGCACGTAACATTTTAAATACTAGATACATTGACGTTTCAGTTTCTAAGGTGTAACTATACTCAACATCAAATAAACCGCACCTTCCGCGACGCGAACTTTAAAGATTTTTTTCTGACACAACCATGGTGCCCCAACAATATTGGTTTTAGTTGAAAGCCCAATAAATATCCTTAAAGAAAAACACATTTAATTTCTTAACAAATGATTAACATATACCATAAATGTGACTTGAAAAAAGACCTCACTTTGGGCTTACTTCTGGGATCAATTAGACCAAATTTTATGATTATAAAACCAAATAATGATCACACGTGTCCTCTTTAACAGATGGATAGCGATTAATCCCAACTTAACAGTTTTATAGCCATAAAAGTTGGCTCAAGCGTAACTGCCTTTTTGAAGAAGTGACTCTGGATCCTTCTAAAGACACATTTTTGGGGTAAAAACATTTCCTTTAATGAAATGAAGCTTAGAACTAGGCTTTTAAATGGTGCCAATATTAGTGGGAAGTGGGGATGCATACGTTTGAAAGTGCTTGTCGCGGGAGGTGCGATTTATTTGATGTTGAGTGTATATTTTACAGATTGAATTACTTATTTTATAATTAATATATAATTGTCACTAATATTATATTATAAAATAAATAAAATCCAACAAAAATTCTTACGATCTGATGGGCTATTTCAATTCTGAAGTGGGTTTTTTCCCTGAAATCTGAGCCTTGGGCAATATTGACGTATTTATTTTAGTAATGGAATTATCCTTTAGAAGCTGCAAGAGAGTAAGTTTGTAATAAAACTCAACCCTATGCATAGCCGACGTTGTTTCGGCAATTTAATAATTTTGCTTTTTATATAATTAAAGCCAGTCAATTACATAATATTTTTATTACATCAATAAAATTAATATGCTCTGAAACCTTTTTATTCTAAATTTCAGCCAACTATCAATCAGTGTCGTATTGTCTCTAGAGAGGACTATAGAAAATTTAAAGATATTACCTAATTTGTATGCAAACCACAGGAGTAAACAATTTTCTCTACTCATTTCTTATTTCCTTCATTGGTTGGGTTTTTGTGGCGGTCAAGCTGTAGATCCTGGCTACACAGGAGTTGCAGTGGTGGGAACGAGAGGTGGGAATAGTCCCGTACTCATTTCTTAATTGAGCATTTACGAGGTCGCTCAACCTTCTCGTGTGATCTTGGGAGGTGGCCTTTCATAAAGCGAGTCGCGTACAAGAATCAATATAGACTTGAAGAGGCTATTATTGGTCACATTCTTGGGAATACTGTCACGTTGCCGACGGCTTCACCTAAATGGGCTATTCAACCCTCCCTAGACAACATTATCAGTGTTTGTTACTGCTGGCAATGATAGCACCTTTGAGCCCGGTTAAGTAAGCCAGCGTCCACATTCTGCGGTGGAAACTCCTTTGAATTTTCGTTTACACATTTTCGTACGGCCATTGGCGCGTTACAACGGGTAATTCAGCTTCCGCATATTGGACTAAAATAGCTTGTTGAAAAATTTCAAAGGGGACCGTAACAAAATTTTCATCGTGAAATAGTTCGGCGTATTTTCCCGGACAAAAATAACAGTTGGTTTCCACGTAACTAGTTTTTTGGTTACTTTCAACGTGGGTGTTGTTTGTAGTTGATTGCAGGAGATAAAAATAACATTTTGGCATTGAAATCAATAAGCAATAACTTGGGAAAAGAAATATGCTTAGGTATTAAAATAGAAAGATTATCGTTTCATCCGAAACATATTTTTCATTTAATTCAAGTCTTCAGTTTCCTAGGAACAAATCAGAATGATTTTGTACTAAGTGTGAATACTTAGTACCCATTGGGTATTCCAAATCTCTGAGCCGGAAAAGTCAACCTCAAACCGTTGAGCCATAAAGGCGGAGGTTGATTCTTCCGGCAATAATAGGGACTGTTGATTTTGATCCTAACGATAAAATTACGAAGGCAAATACTCTCTCTAAATTCTAAATCAAGGACCTTTGTTATGGAAGCAAATAATCAGGACCAAATTGTCATTTTCATACATTTTAATAACGCTATTTTTAAATCAACCTAAGCATTTATATTTAGCTTCAAATACAGTATCAAAAAGAGCTTCCGCATTTTGTTACGTAAATATACCACAAATTTTCATCCACACGATGCTTAGATGTAAAAATAACTCCGTTTAAAAACATATCCATTGTTGGTTTTGGTAAAAGCGTTCGTTATACGGTACAGGAATCGACTGTTAAGGTCGTAAGGTATTTTTATCAGCGCTGTACCTGATTTACCGGCAGCATACTGGGAAAGCTGGCAGCATAGTTTCGCAGCGTTAAACGCGGAATGTTTGGCAGTGTGGTACAAGAATCTGCTGTTCAAACTGTTAGGACTTGCAACCTTGCAGGCAGTTATGCATGGCTGCACAATGCACATGGTATGCAAGTACTATGATCCCCATCTTAATATTACAAGTGCTAAAATAGCTGTCTGTGCCTTTTAAAGCATAAACCACTGAATAAAGTTTAAAAAAAAATAGTATAAAGACAAATAGTGACAGAAGATCATAACTCATAAGCTAAGCGACACATATCGTGGAAGAATGGGGGATGAAAGTTTGAATGAGAAGTTAATATTGAATTTACGAGTATATAATACTTATCACATTTATACTATTCTGGATTTGAAGTGTCTTTCTCTATCAAAAGGGCAGTTTACGCGATCCAAGCCGCAGGCTAAAGCTAACTTGTAAAAAAAACTGCTTTATTTTGTTCCTAGAGACTTAAGACAAAATTATATAGTTTGGTACTTAGGTAATTAATTTAGCGGAGGTTGCTTTAAATATTAATTTTAATATTCCTGTAAAAATAAGAAAGTTTATATCATGTTATTGTTAAGGAGAAAACTCAGGATATTTTCACTAGAGAAAGTTTTATTATCATGCATAGTTTTTATGAGGAAACTTGAGCTTTCCACTGCAGATGCTTTTTAAAGTTCTGTTACTCATGCGAAATGCCGAAATAGTATCTACTAAAACTTTAGGCTTTGTTATTTATACTGCTCATAATATTTTAGTATAATTTAACTTCCAAATAGGTAAACTAAACCTAATCTGTATTGTTTTAGAATTCATTTCTATATTGCAGTTAACGTGTGCATAGTTTTTCAATCGCAGAAACTCAGTTTAGCTTGAATTGAGTAAGTACCCTCTTCCTAATATAAATAAACTTAATACTGTTTTAACTGGGTACCCATAATTCATTACTTGTAAGTTATTATGACCCTATTTTAAATTAGAATGTACTTAGTCATTAATGTACATTTTAATTGAAAATAGGGCATACTACATCATAGACAGCATTACGAATTCACGACTCACTGCATAAACTATAAAAGTTTTGGATAAATGTGGGAAAATAAAACATTTTCCGGAACGAAACTGAAACTCAAGCAGTCTGATCCCCCGTTTGAGTTTCTGCCAACTAGTCCCTTCCACCTGGCATTGTAGCGACTTGCTCCAACGTGCAATATTTTTCCACTGTATATTCCATTTCACCTAAACGTTGTCCAATTTGGACGGCGTATTTGTAACAGAAGCGAAACATCGAGCATAACGCTTTGTTGCATCGGTGTTTTATTTCAAAACTTGTGAAAATATTACTGTTTTACTCTTTAAAATAATATACGTTCTCTCTTTTAAATTACTTTATTTTATAGGATAATAAAAACTTTTGCAAGTTGCAATATTCACTACACACAGCAATAAATGTGCAGTTCCGGAAATAAAAATTCAGTAAGTTATAGAGAAAAAGTGATGTTACACAATCATAGTATGTCTCCCCAAAACATACAAATAAATTACACGAAAATCACATTAATATTATAAAGGCGAAAGTTTGTGAGTGTGTAGGTATGTTTGTTACTTCTTCACGTCTAAATGGCTGGAACGATTTTAATAATTGGTATGGAGTTAGCTGACACCCTGGATTAACACATAGGCTGCGTTTTACCACGGGTAACACTGCGGGGCATAGCTAGTCTAAATCTAAACCCAAAATTCACCGATTCAAAAGTTGTCCAAAATGTAAATTCTCGTAGGTAAATGTACGGAGGAGCGCAGACATTTCGCCTTTAGCAATGTTTTCTCATACAAAAATACCATTTCATTGAAATCAAAGCAAGCAGGATTATCTAAAGTGTGGGTAAGCACTGTCTGCGCGACAGAACCCGAACTCCACCAACAAATATTGCAGAGAGTCAGTTTTAACGATTTTCTATCGATAACATTTTTAACATCCCAATTTCTGGCCAGTGTAGAAAGTGTAGGGTTAATCATCCATTTGCCTCTGGTACATTTGAGAGGGGCGTGTTCTTGTAGTGAAGTGGAGAATAATTGACCTAAGAAGATGATGATAATATTTTTTTTTTTACTTTTCACTATTCCAGGTCTATTAAATAAAATTCTGATACTATCAAACGCCGGAAGACCAAGTGTGGGCAGGCTTTCTACTAGATGGACCGACGCGGACAGCACAGGATCTGTCGTTATGAAAATCCATTGTCCAGCAGTAGACGTCATTTGGATGAAACGAACGAACGAACTGTACAAAACTTAACAAACAACACGTCAGATTTAGAGCTTTTATTCATTTATCGATATCGATAAATTCAATTATATTCTCGACAGCATTACCTCCAACCAAACCTATTCAGAGATGCGCTCTTACAGCAACGTTAGTTATATTGTTGATTCTATCTACAATTTTAGTTTTGGACTAGATTCGTTACCACTATTTTTATATTTTCAGTATTTCAGTCTGGCTTTATTTCATTCCCCAATTACAGGTAGGAACTTTTATTTCACGTTTGAATATTTATTTAGCAGATATTTTTATGGCTAGACGTTATGGTTGAAAAGGATTACAATTGAAATAAATAAACAATAGGTCGCTAAAATAAACAATATACAAAATAGAAATTGTGAGCAGAGTTAGAGTTAGAACAATAGAAGTGTTTATCAACACTTTCAGAACTATATAAATATCCTTCTAGAGAGCCAAAATTAACACAATATTTGAATTGTCACTATTTTTACAATAAAGTAAAAGGTAGCCCCATTAGAAACTATTTATAAACGGTTATTTAAAGGTTATTAAAATAGACTGAAATTCATACACGTTCAATACCTAAGTAGGTACACCAGCAAAGCTATGGAAGCTATATTTGTACTATCTGTATTCCATGTTCACTATTCTATTCTGTTTTCGTATACGATTAAAGTAAAAATAACAAAAGAAAAACTAATTTTACTCTTTCTCTATTTGCTTCTCGTAAGTTAGAGAAGGTTGTACTTATGCAGTGAAGACTAAATGACATGATGATGATGATAATGATGATGATGATGATGATGGAAAAAATCCTACTTCTTATATTTTCGATGTAATCATCATTATCATCTCAGCCACAGGACGTCCACTGCTGAACATAGGCCTCCCCCAATGCATTCATGTTGCCCGATTTTCGGTGTATTTAATTCTTTGCATTAATTTCGGACATCCTCTACAATTTGGCTTTAGAACTGTTTCTGCAAGTGCCGACTCGAATCAAAGCAAACTATCTCAGAACTCCCCAGGTGCTAGTTAAACGTTCACCGCACATGCTAGCGTTCCATGCATGCAAACTGCGAACTACGGCAAGTCTGCAATGTTGGTAAAGGTTGTACTACTGAGATTTTAACTCAAAGCAATCTTTGAGTGACTAAAGATGCTTTAAGCGCTTTTAACTAACTTTTACTTGGATTGTTTTCGGAATCCTTTGACTTTTGAAAACACTGATTGGCGCTGTGATTATTTTTTCATTATTATTTTGTTTCAACCAGTCTCTAAATTATCTACGATTAAATTATGCTACCCATATTTTTTTGGATTTTTTATATGTCTACAGACTTTGGGGGATTGACAATGATGTTTGGTAAGCATACTAGCAGCGGTTGGACAATAACATGGTCAGCCGTGGTGTAGATTTGTACATGGTCTCTGTATAAAGGCTCATAACACTGACAATTAATAAAAATAACTCAACAGCCAGTTAGTATGATTTTTATTTTTTATAAGCAATCCATTGTTTTTGTCCACTATTTGTTATCTAGTTTATTTTACGAGCTCGGAGACGCGGTCGCGCCTAAAGTGTCGCGTTAGGGCCCTTATGGCGCTCCAGTGACGTACGCAGGATTTGCGTATCGCTCGCAATCGGGGCCCGTAAGCCCCTTTAAGTATTTCCCTAAATCCGGCCCTGGGGATTTCTCCAAAATCTTGTCCGGATCTTTTCAATGAAATTCAATTTCTTTAGATGTGCACATTTGTTTTTTATGGGTTTGCTCTTATTGTTTCACATTGTGTCCTTCGGTATTGGCGGTTTATTTAGATAGAATCACTTAGGCGTCTTTATGCAAGTGGTTAGAGTTGTTAGATTGTAAAATAATATTGTAAAAACCCAATTTTCTTCTGAGGTTTATTCGTCGTTACATAGCCGCCATAGTCACAATAAGATAGCGAAGCTTTACGTGGTTTGAAGGATATTTATTTTATTAAAATAAATATCATGGACTATCAAATTGCGTGAGCCCTTTTTCCTTGAATTTGGACCAACATTATTTTATTATGACGTATATCTATCACACATTTCACAACAGCTTCGACATTTATTATTTTAATTATATTTCTAGCTCGTGTATTTCAAAATATTTTATGATTAAATTCATCAAATATTTTGAAATACACGAGCTAGAAATATATGTGTACTGAAATTACTTAATTACAAATTAATAAAATAAATTATCATTCACATTCAGAAGTGAGGTGAGACCGTAAGAACCCTTAGTGGGGCACCTCAGATCCATTCCAGGAATTATATGAAGCAATTAAACGAGTTATGACTCTCATTAATTGTATCAAAGATGGCTGACTCACAAACTGCTTCGGCTAAGCCCAAAATACTACATTCAGTCTTAAGAAGCAGCCATAAAGCTCCATTTATTATAATGATTGTGATTACGGGATTCATATTTTATTGTTAATAAAATAATTATTCCGTTTCACAGTATTGTTTCCAAGACGGTAAATTAAAATATTCGTTTATTATGTTGTCGTCACCACTCTATGTTATTTAGAAAAACAATTAATTTATCATTATCATCATGAATTTAATCTCCGCTGCAGGAATATCTACTCTCTATATTTACCAGTCCTTCCAAAACCGTCTGGCCAGCGTGTTAGTGTAGACTAAATCCTGTATTTACTTAGGGTAAATAATCTACATATTCTAGAGCAAATGTGACCATTTTATGTGCGTTTGTTTCAGTTCAAATTAAATGATGTCCACAGCTGGACAAAGTAAGACCTCCCTCAAGAATTTCCAACTATCGGTCCTGACTCCTG